AAGCCGGCTCTATGCTACCAGAAGTACCGCTATCAGCGAGTACCGAAATATAAATATCGCTACTCGATACCGAAAAACTGGTATCGGTGCATCCGTAGTGATGACTATTATTATTATTTATAATTTATAATAATCATAATGACACCGGGGGACATAATAATAATGACTCCAGGGGACATAATAATAATAATGACACCAGGGGACATAATAATAATGACACTGGGGGACATAATAATAATGACACTGGGGGACATAATAATAATGACACTGGGGGGACATAACAATAATGACACTGGGGGGACATAACAATAATGACTCCAGGGGACATAATAATAATAATGACTCCAGGGAACATAATAATAATAATAATAATAATGACACTGGGGAACATAATAATAATGACTCCAGGGGACATAATAATAATAATAATAATGACAGCAGGGGACATAATAATAATGACAGCAGGGGACATAATAATAATGACACTGGGGGACATAATAATAATGACACTGGGGGGACATAACAATAATGACACTGGGGGGACATAACAATAATGACTCCTTTGGACATAATAATAATAATAATAATAATAATAACACTGGGGAACATAATAATAATGACACCAGGGGACATAATAATAATGACACTGGGGGACATAATAATAATAATAATAATGACACCAGGGAACATAATAATAATAATAATGACACAGGGGGGACATAATAATAATGACACAGGGGGGACATAATAATAATAATAATGACACCAGGGGACATGCTCAGGTGTCATTATTATTAGTGTTGCTATTCTATGCAGTGGAAGTGGTAGGTGGCGAATGATCCACATTTACCATGAAAGTAGAATTATGGGAAGAGTGAAATGTGCTCTTCCCCCTGGTTACTGAAGCTGACACAGGGTGTCTCTCTTGATCGAGAACTGAGCGATCACAAACCCCTGATCACGCAGTTCCTGCACTCACTCTCTCTGCAGAGAGCGGTCACTGTCAGTCACGGCTCCTCGCAGGAATACCCCCCTCTCTGCCCCTCCGCCGCTGACTGGAGGGATGGATGGGGCGGACACAACCTCTAGAGAGGTAGAGTCAGCTGTCAATCAGGTGGTGGGGTGGATCTGGGCAATATTTTTTGGATCCATCCCAGCTGCAGCGCTGCTCTGCTCTGTCAGCATATAGCGGGCAATATTGCAGGGGGGGGGGGGGGGGGGGGGGGGCCCAAGAAAATGTTTGCCCGGGGTCCAATCAATATTAAAGACGGCCCTGAATCTTTGTGTCCCCATCAATTTCTACACTTTACATCAATACAAGTTGCAGTTTTTGGCTACCATTCTGAGTCTATTTTTAGTCAGCTTTTGGTTTTCACACTATTTCTAGTTTTATGAAGTGAAGAAGGTGGAGTGAGAAGGAAGATCTGAATCCTCTACATGGGATTCAAAATTTTACTTGCTGTTTAAAAGGATTAAAAATTGAGACAATAAACATTCATTCTGATGGAAAGTCGTATTTTTTTCTTAGCCTCGGTGTGAATATACCTGAGCATGCAATTCTATTCCCCCCCACAGCTAAGCTATTAGAATTACAGCTGAAGTCCAGGTAAGGCGTCATGTGAAAGGTCACGGAACTACTCTGAAGCTGGAACAACTCTCAAAAAAAATGACCTTCAGCTTTCAGCTGAAGAACCTTGAAAGCCTAATTTTCAATGCAGTTGCCCTTTAAATGTTTTACCCCCCAGCTACCCTTAGGGTACAGAGCTCTATTAGAGAGCGTTCCATCTCACTTCCTGTCCTGGTGACAGTAGGTTCAGCAGACAGAAAGCGCATGGAATTCTCCAAAAGCAACACAGAAAAAAAATATTCCTTGTTAGTAGATTAAGGGAAGTCTAGACTCCCTTTCAGATATGTATTTCTTGGAGATGGATACATAGTTTTGGAACTCTAGGATTGGCCTGTTGGTTTTGCAGTTGTGTGTGAACTAGGTTTTTGGATTTCTTGAAGCTTCTAGGAGATTTGCATAATTTCCTTGCTTTGTAATGTAACTAAGGGACTGTTCACATGATATCAGGTCCTGATCAGGTCTGGATCAGGTGCGGATCTGCAGACGCGGGGCTATGTGTTTGGCCGCGTTTTTGATGCGTTCCAGTAAAAAAATACTGGAACGCATCAGTGGGGCTGTCAGTATGCAATGCAGTGCGTTTTTAACTCGTTTTTGCCCAGATTCAAGTTTATTCCAGTAAGGCTGGGTTCACACCTAGACATATCGAATATGCGTGTTTGTCGCGCGTTTTGTGTCGCGCGTTTGTCGGCCTGTAATACGCCCAGGTGTGAACCATACCCATAGGAAATAATGGGATTTCGGTGTTTGAGCGGTTTGCAGAGCGTAGGAACGCGCTACAAAACGCCCAGGTGTGAACCGGGCCTCAAGGATCAAATAGATCCAAAACATTTTGGGGAACAATAATCACCCCCCTCCTCAGGATTTGACCACTTATATGTTGAAGCAGCTGGTTCCGGCAGAACCCCTAAGGTTGCTTTACTGGAATACATTTGTATCTGGACTATTAATATGTGCTTCGGTGCTTCAATCTCAGATTACTTTAAATGTATTTCTGCCCGTGTCCCTGATGCAGATTTTCTCTTGCTTCCTGTATTATAAATCTGTTGACACTTTGACAGGGAGTGAGGGTAAATCTATATACCAGAGCCCCACATACCTAGAACTAATGAGAAATGATGCATTGTAGCTAAAGGCAATACTTAACTGTCCTCTTTGTGTGGAGTTATATCGGCTCCCAAACTTTCCTTAAAGCTGAATGTCATACTAAACATTTGTTATCTGTAACTTTCCAATCATAACAAACACAACACCAATGTCATGTCCGCTTGTCACAACTCACTTGTTTGTCCCGGTTTGTAGATAGATTTGTCAGATTGGATGAATGTTCCCACACTTTTTTTGCGCACCGTCAGAGATTTGCTGGCAAACTGTACCTTATCCCCGGCAGCATCTATTCCCTGGACTTTAATCTGAACCTTCTCCGTGTGCTCAGAGGGCTCAGGAACCTGGAAAAAGACAGAAATATGATTGATATTTATTGGTTTGTAAAACTGAATTATTAATCTGAAGAAAAGTCAAAGCTTGGATCTTATGCAGCCTTTAAGCCTACTAAGGAGATCCTCTCTCTCTTCCTGTCCCAGTGACCCCACAGGAAATGATCAGAATTGGCACAACAGAGATGCAAACAGCACGTATAGAAATGTGATTATATATTGCTGAAGTGTTTCTGCTCACCTCCCCAGCAGGTTCACAGGCAGAAAAAACGAAGTTCTAACCTTTCCTCACTCTATCCAAAACATAAAAAGTTTCAGTTGTTGATGAATTATAATGAGATGTTACCCTGTAAAATATATATGACATTCCATTGTAGTCTCCACCCTGGCTACTCAGTCACATGTGCTCCATCCAGAAACATTGAATAATTACAAAACTGCAAAATGAGTTCAAGGTTTTACATTTTTGCTTTGTAGCCACTAGAGATCTATGTACAGATATAATCCGTCCTCAAAAACACATGGAGGGCTCAGAGACACAGGGGCCCCAAAATCACAGAGGGCCAAATGACACGGGTGACTCAGAGCTGCCTGACTGCACAGAGACTTTTCAGGTAGTAATAGCAATTTGCATCTATTTTATCTACAAGACTGCAATTGAATGAAAGTAAATAGTATTGTAGCGCTCACCCCCGAAGGAGCCGCCAGAATAACCCGGGTACTTCTGTCCCTAAGCCAAAATGTACCGCCCAAATAGGATCCACAGCACACCAACACACCTTAGAGAGTTTTATAAACAACTTTACTGATAAGCATAAATATAATTGTCAAGCATTACATAAAATAACACAATAATTGAAGAACAATATTCAACAGTGCACACTAGGCATTCAGACACTGGGCAGCCACTGCTCTCTATCTTATGAAAAGTACAGAACTTAACTATCTCAGAAGTTATCATTGACTTTAATCACTTGATTACTAATGTTCCAGTCTCAAGGAATCTCCAACACTCCACACTACTGACCAGCAGCAATAGTCTAGGCTAGCCATCGTTGGGGCCCATACTGTTTTGATGAGATGAATTGCAGAAACAATAACAAATGGCCGAAGGCTTCTCACCACTCCTCAGGTCAACCTTGTAGATGTGATGTCCTTCAGAAAAAGACGGGCGTCCCCTTTTCTAAAGCCAACAACTTTGCTGGTCTGCAGTCAACAACTCTGCAGTCTCTTGAAGAAGATCTCCGGTCAAAGGGAACTCTGGATAGCTCTCTTGGCAGACACCGTCAGGCTTCCCATGGATTGCTGGGCCCCTTTGATCACTCACTGCACAGGTTCGGCTGTTGGTCCAGGCCACGATATCCCCGCTGCACTGATGACGCGGCTCCCCACTGAAAGCGATCGTCCAGTCACTCTGAGCGCAGCAGACCAGACTGAGGACTCTATGTCCATTCTCACAGACAGTATACACACAGAGTTTGTGGCCCCTCTGGGTTAGGGCCCGCTACACACCTCTGTCCTCTTCAAAGGGTTCTTCTGGACTGAGCGTTCTCTGCAGGCTCAGTGCAACATCCTCCTCCTCTCCAGACACACAGCCTCCTGGGGATTGCAGTCCCCACACTCTCTCACAGCACAGCTTATCCCCGTTTCTGAACTGAAATTCCCACAAGTCTCTGCATCCCAGGCAGTGTAAAGATCAGTTAACTATTTCCAATCAGGATATTTGTTAGTCACATAGCAACACATGTATATAGGGGCTACAGTATTAATATTCTGTATTACTAGAGAAATTGTCTTTGGGATGAAAATTCGATGGGCAGAGGGGCCTGTGACTAAATCTGCAAGGGTTGGGACAGGTTGTTGGTTAGCAGCATTCTGGAAGTTTCTATATTCTCTAAGTACCTGTCTGCACCTCCCTTTCTAGGCTGAGCTAATTTGCTACTTGAACTTTCTGGAACTTTGTGGAGTGTTCCTACAAGGAAACAAGGGAGGGCAGGCAGCCTTTGTTCACTCACAGACCCTTCCCTAGTTCACACCTCCAGGAATTAAGCCTTAAAGACTAAAAGCACATGATCGGGTGTTGTTGGTTGCTGAAGCTGGATGAAGCGATTCTGAGAACCAGATTCGTCCTCTGAGGACCAGGACCAGGTCATCCTCTCTCTACAGGCTGTCTACTACTCTTAGTGGACTTTGTGGATTACTAACCTAGTGGACTTAATATTACACAGAGTAGGCGTTTCACTGACTCCCCCTTACTGGCTTCATTATAGGACCTTCTCCTGCAGCTGGAACAGCAGAGACACTCTGGGGTCCCTGTGTAGAACAGTTACACTTGGTCTTTGACCTCATGAACCTTTGGATGCCTTGATATTTTTAATCCCTTAGATATAGAACTGTAACACCCTGTTTGTAATGCAATGAGCTGCCCCCAATTATACCCTAACTTGGGTAGAACGTTGTTCTGGGACCTAAACTGTTTTCCCCTGTACTGCAAGCTGGGTACTACATGGCCCGGTTTTGTTATCCTTGTTTTTGGGACTTTTGTATGAGAATCTGGAGCTTATTTAATAACAAAAGACTTTTATTAAAGAATATTATACTTCTATCACACTGTGTCTGCCTAGTGCTGTCCTCAGCATCATAGAGCTACTATGACAGGCCCCTTAATGGTTGTGCTATAGGCGCCCATTGGGTATTGTTAGGACCCTGCTCTTCCATCACCAATATAAAAGCATTCTGAGCTCCATACCTGGAAGTATTGGCAGTGCAAGGCTGCTGGCATGTTTCGGAAACTTGTGTACAGAGTTATGGTTCCACCTGAGGTCTCGAGATTCACTAAGAGGCGAGAGAATTTTCCGAGATCACCAGAAGTGTGAATACAGAACATCTCTTCCGATGGATAGTAGAGATCAGGAGGACAAAAAAGGCCAAAGTTTCTGGAAGGGAAACAGGAAGTAATTATCCTACTTTGGAAACACAGTTTTCTTTGAAGTTTATTACATTTCAGTTGTAGCCTCTTTGCCCTAAGGGGAGTGTCTTTTTACATTTATTGGTGCTGGAACTGTAATCAGTCCGGCTGATTTTTAATCTGTGATCATTTGGTCATTCATAGGCATTCTACTTTTGTGTGCACCTACCTGTAGTGGGATGTGACCCTGCCACGGTGTGGGGGCACCCAATGGGAGAACATTGGGGGTGTTTATGCCTCAAAAGTAATTTAATAGGGGTTTTATGGCCAGTGGTGCACGCTGGGGAATGCATAAATACTCAGGAATTGCCATATGCTTAGGTCAGTATACACAGTTGGAGAACTATGTCTAGGTCTGAAGTCTGCAGGAAGCCAGATGTGGACCCAGGTGGGCCTGGAACTGTCTGTGATGGATAATCTTTATATGCTGGAGGTGCCAGAAAGGCCAAAATGGCATGGCCCTTTAGGAACAAGTTTGGTGTCTCTCCTAGGGAAGATCTCAAGCATGTCCTCTGTCCAGCTGTGGCTCTATTACACAGTTGCATCCTCTGCAAAGTATTCCTACACTGTGGAAGTTGGAAGGGACTGGAGTCTTATTTTGTCCATGGCTGTCTGTACCCGCTCTCCCAGTTTGGTTGTTCTATAATAAGGCATTGAAAAAGTACTTAAAGTAACTAGAGCAAAATTTACTGTTTACATCCCACAACACGACTAAGGATCCATCCCTGAGAGTGAAATGCCAGCCCTTCCTGCCACTGGGGTTCACCACATGCCCTTGGGGGTCAGGAGGGGGTCACACAGTAATTTAGTAGATGGAGAAACACCAGAGGAACTGCCAGATGAAGGTTAACATTTGTAACACTTTTATTAATTTTATAAACCAAAAGGAAGCATGAAAATGTTTCTGTCAATTCCTCAGAAGGTAACAACTGAGAACAAACTATTTGCAGATATGTGACTGTGACCAGAAACATTTCAGTGTTTTTTTCACCATATACATTACATATGCAGGTCCTGCTTCCTGCTACGTATAGGGACTTTACAGGTAGGGATAGGCAGAATTGATAGATTTTTTTTTCTTTGCTGAAATCCCAGCAGCAATTGGGGCATGTCAGTAAAATGTTGCCATTTGCTGAAGTTTCGGGGAATAAACCAGAAATTTAGCTGTTCCCGAAAACGATTACATTATAAGCATGCAGATAACTGTCACAGTTGTCAGTGTGGTTATGTCAGCTTCCAACCAAACTTTTAAGCTCTCAAATAGCCAATCACATGTGCAGCACTATGGCAACTATGATAAAGAATGGCTCAGATGTCCCCTCCCTCGGCTGGAAAGGATAGAAGGGTTTAGTTCAATGGGCTTTAAATGCTCCTTTCAGCTTTCATCTAAATCTAACCCTAACCCCTGACCTGCTGACCATAACGATAACTCTAACCATAGCATCAACCCTAATGGTAACAATAACCCTTTGCTTATAAATAAAGTCATGTGATTGCCATGTGAGCACTTATCACATGATTTGTCATGTCTTTATTGCTGTGTCCCCTCTGGGCAGATTCTCTCTCTATTTATTACAAGGATAGAAAGTGATGATCATCCATTGAGGGACACAACTCTAAAGAATTCTAAGATGCAGGGTTATGCTGCTGCCTGTAGGAGAAATGGACACTAGGTAAATAAATTAAAAGCCTGCCACTTTAGGGACACAGCCTTTCCCTCCTCACACCCGCTAGTTTCACTTAGTGTCCTCAGGAAAATGGATGTCTCCTTCTCTTCTGCTTTGTTATTTTAGTCTATTTTGTTTCTTCAGTGAGAACAAGGGTTTCTAGTTGATCCATACCAGATAAGTTAAATCCTGGGAGTTTATTGGATATGCAAAAAAGAAAGGGGAACATAATGGAGTTACGCCAAAGCAATATACTGATGTGTGTGGGGACCGGTCACATCACTAAATGAAGGCCTGCAGATGCTCTGAACTGGGGGAACAAACAAATTCTATTTTTAATATTCAGACTCAGACCCCCTTATCGTCACAGTGGGAATCCCGGTAAGGAGTGCGGTATGGTTCCTGTTTTTGTTTCTATCAGCAGTGAAGTCTCAGTTTGCTTCCTTTGTTTATTATTTGCCCTCAATTTCATCTCACTTATTGGGAAGAACAGGGATATTGTATTTTTTACTGTTAAACAGCCATTCTTCAAATATTGTGTTGTCTGCAGCAGGTGGTTGTGGTACCTCATATTCTGTCTAACCCTAATTGTCAGAACGGACTTTCATTAGCACAACTATGTGAAAGTGATTTTTTTTTCTTTTCCTACTCTGTCTTTCTATTGGTTTTATTTAGAAATGTGTGACATTTGTAATTTACATTGGTGTCACTGAGGTTTCCGGTTTTTCCCGTCACAAGTGGTCTGTACTTTTCAAGGTCGCAGAGGTGTTGCTATAGTGACCTGTGCTTGTTATACTGTATGTATTTCACAAGTTGGCCACATGGGGGCACTTTCTTTATTTCTGCTCAGGCTTACTCGAAAAAAACTGTAACTTTTTATTTCCCTGAATACTGATGACAAAGTTTTTACTCAGTAAGGGATGGCAGCCTTCGTGAAAGTTATACAGCGGCCAGAGATTGGTGACACTTCCTGGGGTGCAAAATCTTACCTGCCTCGATTAGGGACCTAGCACATAGATTCAGCTCATGAATGTAATACACCTAATGTATGCTTGTCATAAACACTGTGCCATGTCAACCCTAACCCTAATGCAGTAGCTGGGCTGTAACAGATTCACTCAGCATCAGAAAGTAACAGTTGCCTTCTTAATTTGGAACTGTGCGTTCCTCTTTAAAATTTGAGGATTGTGCTGTTATTCTCCCTTCTGCAATTTCTAGTATTGGTTCACATAAATCTGAGAGTGTTTGCAAGGTGTTTTCCTATATATAAGGAAAATTCCAGATGAGCTATTTCTGGTTCCTAGACGTGCTAAGTCCCGATATCCTTTTCCAGATCATTTAAAAAGAAAAAAATAACTAGTTTAGCTCTTCAACCATGCTTGTCGTTTGTTTCCTCGCTTGTATGCCTCTTCCATTTAGGTACGCAGAGATATTTGGGTTAAAGTAGTACTTAGGGCTGGTGTTTTTTACCTTAATGCATTATCTGTATAAAAGCAAAAAACACCCACTACTTTTCTTATACCCCTGTCCCCCACACGCTTATTGATTGTATACTCTGCCATGACCAGGAAGATACTATGGACACACACAGCTAGCTATAGGATATTTAGACGACCTAATGAGCTCAATGTCAAGATGGTGCTGCAGACAGCAGAGGACTTCAGATAGATTCTAAACATCGAGAAGTCATCCCTAATTTCATCACAGTGCTTGGAGCATTTGGGGTTTCTTGGGTACCCTTCAAACAAAAGTGTTCCTTCCGCAAAAAAAATGTGACATTGCAGAATCAAGTTGGGTTGCTTTGATCCCATCGCCCTTCCTCTCTGAGAACCTGCATGAGAATTCTGGGATTGATAGTGTCAACCTTTGAAGAGGTAACTTTTTCTCAGTTCCATTCCAGGACTTTACAGAGGGACATTGTTAGGGTCTCTTCTATTGCTGGCTGGACAAATTGATCAGATTGAGTGCGCCAGCCAAGATATCTCTGTCATGTCGGTCGACAGAGCGAAGTTCTGGACCTATTGTATGTCGTCAACACATGACTATACTCAGTTCTGGTCCTACCGAGTTGTCATAAAGATGTGGTGCCACTCTCAGCCTGCACAGAGATTTTCCAGCTTGCGGGACAACACTCTGAGTGAAGCAGACTTAGAGTGATCATCACTGGGGTTGGTTAACTCTGCAGTTAACCCTTTACCCACACAAACAATTGCTGCCCCCACATGTTTTAATGGAAACATGCACTGTTCTCAGCAAAAGCTGTAACAATTCAAAACATAAACAATGCATGTGATGCCCATTGTCCCCTCAGACGGGAACCCTAACCCAATGGTTTTACAATATGGTAGCACTCTTTACAGAGACAAGAATGCTTTAAATTGTAATTTAAAGCATAGAGATAAGCTTAACAATGTTAAAATATTGTTTTTAATAAAATAAATGGTGCAGAAAAAATACAGAAAAAGATGTTACAGAAGAGACAAATATAACAACAATAAAATAAAAAGGGCATAAAAATGTGAGTACTTAACAAACTTATGGGTTTTGTGAGCTCTGGATTTGGTCTTTTTCTCAAAGTAAGACTTGGAAAAGTTATTTTCTTAAAGGAATCTTCTTGGATGGTACACAAGCCTCCTCTTTTGACGTTAAAACAAGAGCTCCTGGCTGTCTTGTGCAGCAGCTTTTTGTGGACCCTCTATAGAGGCTCTACTGAGCCGGCCCCTAACCCAATCCAAACAGTCCAGAGGAGTGAAGCAGAAGGGCTGAGGAGTTTATGATCTGCTCTGTGGCCCCTCCCAAACTGTCAATTTATTAACTATCACTATAGATTAATATTCTCACATATTATCACCTGAAAATCCTAAATTATTGTGTGTTAGGCAATTAGCTTCTGATAAGTACCTAACTTGATGATCCTGTGGGTTATGGCTGTTCTCAGAAGGGTTAATGTGGGGTAAGAAGGGTTAATGTTGCACAGTATTAAAAGAAAAAAGAAAGATATATATACATATGGTACATAGATAATGTTTCATCCCCAGGTTCAAAGTTTTGAATATTGAGTGGAACTTAAGTTATTAGCAGAAGTGAGCTAAAGGACAGTTATTTTGTTATCAGTGCTTGCTCATCTTTGGAGCTGTCTATTGATGATTAGTTGGGGATTTTGCTAGTTAGTCTTCTGATGAGGGGTTTATTATACCCGCCACAAAAAGGCCATTAGGACATGCTTGGACAACAACTCCTAGGTAATTGGTGTTTTATGGCAAGGTCTATGAACCATCAAAGAGGCCTGGTATCCCTCCTTATATCTGATGCTTTTGAATGGTAAGATGGCCTAAACAAGATTTAAACACATCTGTGTAAGCAGCAGCCTGCGGTAATTCTAACTATAAGTCATTAATTTCAGTAAAATGAGAGGAAGATGGAATGTCCTTATTGGTACTGTGGTGACCTGATTTCACTATGTTCACAGATATCCCGTGCGCTGACAATGGGAAAGTCGTTTTCTTCTCATATCTTGGAAGATTGTCACAACAGATGCCAGTCTTGTAGGATGGAGCTGTCTCTTGGATCATCTGTCTTGCAGGGTTGCTGATATCTGGAGGAATCCAAGCTTCAGTTTTATATCCTTGATTCTGCTGACTTTTTTCTCTGGACCCATCTTCTGCCTGGGTGTCCGATTCGGATTCAGTCAGACAATTCTTCCGCTATGGCATACATCAATCTCCAGGGAGGTACCAGGGGTGTGTCGATGGTGACAGAAGTACATTCAATCTTGGATTGGGAAGAACTTCAGGGTTCAGCGATTTCAGCGATATTCATTCCAGCAGTACAATACTGGCAGGTGGACTTTCTCCACAGACAACATCCTGATCTGAGTATTTGGTCTCTCCATCCAGAGGTGTTTAAACCCCTTCATGACTGAGCTTGTTTTTAGTTTCTGTTCGTAAATGACTGACACACTTTTGACATTTTTGCTGTGTGATTCTTCCACGTCAGTAATATACTTTCTTACAAAGTGCACCCACACATATTATATATTGTTTTTTAGAGGACAGATAGGGCTACATATTTATATCACATATGTGCGTCTAACGCCTCACTTAGGACAAATAAAATATAAAAAAAGAGGAAAAAACCGTTTAAAAAAAACACTTTTTTCCCAGTTTTGATTTGTAGTATTTTTTTTACAAAACCAGCACAGCTAAAAAAATGCAATAAATACATTCATTTATTTGTCCTTTATTTTATTTATTTTTTTACACACATTTTTTTTACACTTTTCACTTTTTTTTAAACTTAAAAATTGTATTTTATTTATTTAATTATATCAAACAGTCATTGTGAATTAATCTCACTGTTACTGCTTGATAAATTAATAAATTTTTGGTTATTATCAGGCTGCTTCAAACTTCAGAACAGCCGATAATAAGTTAGTGACACTGATCCTGCAGCAGTTCAGGATTCAGCTGTCACTATATGTTTTCTGATTGTTGCAACAACGATCAGCAAACTCAAACATTCTTCTTCCAGGAATAGATACATTGTAGGAATAGACACATTTTGTATCTATTCATAAAAGAAAAAAAAAAAGCCAGTATAGCTTGAGAGAGATATCTCTCGATCTATACGAGCTGTCAGAATGCCGGCAAAAGCCGGCATGTGTGTCCGCTTTGCTTTGACTCTCAGACACCCGATATTAAGGTATCGGGTGTCTGAAAAAGGTTAACCCTTTCATTAATTAATGCCTCTGTAGTAAGGGCATCTATTAATGAATGTTAAAAGCTGATTCTCAGCGTTTAACAGCCCTCTAAAGAAGCAAATAACTCGTCACGTACAGTGTACGTGACAAGTAATTTGGTCCCTTTGTGGCTGGACGTACAGTGTACGTCTCCCGTCACGAAGGGGTTAAACAACTTTGTCATTACTGGGGATCTTCTGGCTTCTCATCACAACAAGAATTTGGCGGATTTGTGTACAGACTGAGGGATCCAACGACGGATGCAGTGGATGCCGCAGTAGCTCCATGTGATCAGTACACTCTAATGTATGTTTTTCCTCCTGTTACTTCAACTGGTTTGCAGTATAGTACATGTAGGACTTCCAGTCATTCCAGATTGGCCTCGCAGGGTGTGGTATGTCAATTTGGTTCATCTTTTGGCAGACGTTCCCTGGCTTGTTCCAGATAAGCCAGATCTGTTATCTCAGAGCCCAATCTTCCACCCTGCTTCTTGGTCGCTGGCTTTATTGGCCTCGCTGCTGAAACCCAAGTGTTGAAAGACAAAGGAATTTCAGATTCGATTATTCCGACTATGCTGAAGGCTCGTAGATCTTCTACTTCTAGATCTATCAATGTAAGTTGAAGGTGTATTTTTGTTGGTGTGAGTCTTTGGGATTTTCCGCACGTGCTTTTAAATATAGCAAATTGTGTCTTTTCTTTAACTTGGGGTAGATCAACTTTTAGCTTTAAGTACCATAAAGGGTCAGACATCTGCCTTGTCTGTCTTTTTTCCGTGTCCTCTTGTTTATAATCCCTTAATTCATACTTTTAATCAGGGAGTTACACATGTAGCTCCTTCTTTTAGGTCTCCTTTTCCTCCATTGGCCTTGAACCTGGTTTTATCTGTTTTACAAAACTTTTAAACCTATACAAGACATATCTTTGTCTTGTTATACAAAAAGGTTGCTTTTCTTCAGCACCTAAGGTAGAAAGATTTCTGAGTTATCTGCTTTGTCTTGTAGAGAACCCTATTTGGTTCTTCATAGGAACAAGGTTGTTTTGAGACCACAGGTTTCCTTTTTTTTGTTTAATACATTTTTATTCAAATTAAGGCATGAAAAGTTTACAACTTAAATACAGTCTAAAAAACGAAGTATTAACGTTTTGTAAAGCAGTAAGATCAGGCTTAACGAGTAAGATGGAAACAAGAACTTTGAAAGTCTATGCACAGTCTTAGGGTATGTAGAACAGTGTATGACATGAGGTCTGGATGCCCTGAATTGCAGGGCATTGTCGGTACAACCCTGGCTGCCCCCAAAACCCCAAAGCCTAAAAGAGAGGGAAAAAGGAGAGAGAGGAAAGAAATGTAAAAAAGGAGATTTGAGGAATCGGGAGAGAAGGTGTTCAAATTACTACAGCCATCAAAGAAGGGTAAGGCCTGTAGGTTTCTTTTTACCCAAGGTAGTCTCAGCTTTTCATTTAAATGAAAATATTGTTTTACCTTTGCTTTGTTCATCATCATTTAGGATGTTTTGCAGGTTTATCTCTCAGCCACAGCTTCCCTTCGACGTTCAGACTCTTTATTTTTTCTTCCAGAAAGGCCTAGAAAAGGTTGTTCTAGATCTATTATATCTAAGTGGATTTGTCAGCTTGTCATTCAAGCTTATGAGTTGCGGGACACTGTACCACCTTTTCCTGTTTCTGCTCATTCCTGAGCAGTTAGTACTTCTTAGATGTTTGGAAATCAAGCTTCTGGTACCGTAATCTGCTTTTCTGTTCACGCTTTTCCAACATTTTATAAAGTTGATTTTTCTGCCTCTTACGATGCTAGTTCTGACAGAAAAGTTTTTTAGGCAAATATTTAGGTGTTCTTCGACAGTTCATGTTTGCTGAGCTAGTGCTTTAGTTGTGGTGCCCGCCCCCCTGTTTGGACTGCTTTTGAATGTCCCTATTGCTCAGAATTCTTCAAAGCTGTGTCCCTAAATGGACATTAGAGAAAAGGTTTTAATGGTAAAAACAACATCCTATTTTTAGTGACTCAGGAGGTGAGGGCAAATCTCCCAATGGGGACACACGTTCTAGTGACAACTAAGAAGGCATTTCCTCTGACTTAGGATAGGTTAAATCTCTGAACCAGGATGTGGAGGGAGGGCTCCCCAATGGCACAGAGGTGGGTGAAGGGAAATTAAATTGGTTCACACCATTCCCTTCCCTACTCAAATTTAAAAAGAAAGTTTTGGCTTTAGGTAAACTTTAATTTTCTAGAACTTGTTCATAAATACTTACGGCTTCTCATTACTCTGAACCAGCATCCCCTTCAGGGAGACAAGAAGACACAGCACCCAAATCATCGCGTACAGTCCTGAGAGAAATACAGAAAGACAGATAAAAGAATCGCTACAGAATTCCAAAAGTGAACTCACAGTAGACATGTTTGAAATATTTATAAGGGGCACATTTATTAACCAGTGAAGGTGACTTTCAACAAATATTGACAGTTGGTAAATCAATCATTGTCAGTGAAGTCACATGTACCAGGACGATTTACCTGAAGTTGTTCTGATGACAGCTGTAAAATGTTTAATTTCCCATCACTTTACTCCCCAGCCTGACTGTCCCTGGCCCACCACTTTCATTCATTGAATTTCAGTTCTTTCAATTGTGGAGGCTCAGCATCACATTTGGATGTTACGTAGGTATGAGCATGCTCTTTATATAGACATTGTTGGTGCAACAACCATTCTTATATGTTAGTCTGTGATTAGTTGCTCTGCCACTAGGTGGTTGTGTGTGTTATGTTTAATTCTTGTACAATGTAATGTTCTTCCTAGTAGAACTACATGGTTGTCAGTAGGGATGCACAGGTTTCCTCTGACCGGCAGTGCCGTAGTGGGAACATGGACTCCAGCTTCCCATGCAATCAGCATTGAGCCGGGCCGAACAGCCGGCTCCATGCTATTTGGCTGGGAAGACGGCTTCCCAGCCAATCAGCATCGAGCCGGCCGAACAGCCAATCAGGAAGCCGAGAGGCAGGTCATCACTCGCCACCCGGCTTCCTGATTGGCCAGGAAGCCGGCTTCATGCTGATTGGCCGGGAAGCCGGTTTCCTGGCCAATCACAATTAAGCTGGTCAAACAACATGGAGCCGACTTCCTGGGCAACCAGGTAGCTGGGCGGCATGTCATTACCCACTGCCTGGCTTCCTGATTGCCTGGGAAGCTGGCTCCATGCCAACGGAAGCAAAAAGGGGTGGGACCAAACACAGAAGCACAGTCGATGGGCGGGGCCAGCTGCTGCTAAGTACAGGAATGCTACAACCGACACACACACCTTGCTGCAACCAGCATACAAACCTTGAAACAATACAGGAAGCTTGCTACAGAGAACTCTTCTGATATCCTCAGCGAATCTCCACCTCCCTAGCTGTCCTTCGCACCCCGAGAACGGTGTACAGGTGTTCCCAAAATAGCTCTCACAGTTCTCCAGCAACACTGACACAATACCACCTGTGACGGACCCCATGTACCCCGACTGGGTACCTCCGCCAAAGAGCGTCTCCTGCCCGCCAAACCCCACTCTCAGCCAGCAGATTCGCAGTAACCAGCCCCTAACCCCCAATTACGAGGCAAACTCCTTTATTAAACAAAGGACATTCACTTTAGAGACACTGGGAGGGCTACAACCCCTCCCCTCCCTTCCCCCTCATGACAAACACAGATAACAGCTTACACAGGGAATCAGACATTTACATACACAACAGGCCAGTCTGCAGCCCCCTCCAACTAGCACAGTGACGGAGCAGTCCGTCCTATTCTGTACACGAACGACAACAACACTACTGTAATGAGCGGTGTGCCTCAGGGTTCTGTGCTGGGTCCGATACTGTTCAACCTATTCATTAATGACATCGGGGAGGGAATAAATAGCCATGTTTCCGTGTTTGCAGACGATACAAAAATAGGGAGGGTACTAGAAACGGTTCGTGACAATATAACATTTCAGGAGGACCTGGATAAAATAGGGGGAGGGGCATTAATGTGGCAGATGAGGTTTAATGTCGATAAATGCAAAGTAATGCACTTTGGACATAAAAAAAAACCAAATGGGTTATACAATTATGGGGGTGCTGCTAGGGAAGTCAGAAATGGAGAAGGATTTGGGGGTCATTGTAGACCACAAACTGAATGGTAGCTTGCAGTGCCAGGCTGCGGTAAACAAAGCTAGCAGGGTCTTGTCCTGTATTAAGAAGGGGATGTATTGCAGGCACAAGTCTATAATTGTCTTCTATATAGATCATTGGTTCGGCCACATCTGGAGTACGCGGTCCAGTTCTGGTCGCCGGGACTGAGAAGGGATGTCCTTGAACTTCAGAGAGTCCAGCGGAGGGAAACAAAACTAATTAGGGGAATGGAGGACCAGAGCTATGAGACAAGGCTTCTGACCTTAAACATGTTTACGCTGGAAGTAAGGAGATTAAGGGGGGATATGATTTTCATGTACAAGATGTTCAATGGTGACGGCAACATTGGCAACAAACTGTTTGAGATTAACTCCATTACAAAGACTAGAGGCCACCACCTAAAGTTGGTGGAGAAAACATTCCAGCACAATGGGCGAAGGGGGTTCTTTACAGTAAGAGCGTTTAAGGTCTGGAACTCACTGCCATCGGCCGTCATCTCAGCCAAGAGTGTAGATTTGTTCAAGAAACGTTTGGACAATTTCTTGAGGGAGCGTAATATCCGGGGGTACCAGTATCCCTAAGAATGAGATGATGCGTGGACCTATATGGGTTGGACTTGATGGACGTGTCTTTATTCAACCCCAAATACTATGTAACTATGTAACAACACTACACTGACAGCTTTGGCGGGAACTCTGCTGCGATACGTAATTTTCGCTCCAAATTGAAAGCTTTGAGTAGCAGAGAATGCCGACACTCAGGTGGATGCTCGCAGAATGTAGAGCGATGTGCAGATAATAAAATGTGTGTTGCCAGAAGCACAGGCAGCTCTCTAATTAGTCAAAGTAGGCAGCCGCGAGGCCGAAGGCAGCCACCTAATTTGCCTAATTGCAAATACACTATATTGGCAAAAGTATTGAGACACCCTTCCAAATCATTGGATTCAGGTGTTCCAATCCCCTCCATGGCGCCCGGTGTATAGGATGAGGCACCTCGGCATGCAGACCCTTCTACAGACATTGGTGAGAGAATGGGTCGCTCTCAGGAGCTCGGTGACTACAAGCGTGGTGCCGTGATAGGTTGTCACCTGTGCAATAAGTCCATCCGTGACATTTCCCGGCTACTAAATATTCTGCGGTCAACTGTTACTGGGATTATAACAAAGTGGAAGCAACTGGGAACAACAGCAACTCAGACTTCACAGGCCTTGAACACCCCTGGCCGTTCGCCACGGCGGTCCCAAGCCTTGCAACGCTTGGGCTCCCAGGTATTTTGCACTAAGCCCCACGGCTGATCCACTCTGCACTGTAGCTGGACTGCCTACTACAGCCTCACGCTAGGCCATTGCTATATCAGGTGACCCTTTTCTTAATTTTTTTTTACTATTGTTCTCTGTTTTTGACTTATTTTCTTTTGGAACATTATCCGCTGCCCCTTATCCCCCCGGTGCCTTTCAACTACACGGAACATGCTCCGACCTGTATTGTGGTTTTCGGACCAGCCTGCAAGGGCACATACTACTCTATGCATATGGTATCCGCATCTTTTTTTTTCATTTTTGTTTCTTTTCCTTTTATGGAGTTACCTACAGTCCAACATTAGAGGGTGCCTGTGCTTCCCCAAAGCCTTTCCCTTATCCTTTAGTTTTGGGACTACGTTAGTTCCTCTGCTTGGCCTCTGAGGCTGACTTCCCTTGCCCCTGCGGATGCACTGTACTCCCCTGCAATGCACCTTTTAATATTGATGTTATTCACAATATTGTATCACTTGTTTTTTTTTTAACAATGAATATATTAGGTTTTGTCAATAGAACATAATAACAAAAATAATACAACATAGATACAGACATATAGAAAATAAAATCTTGCTATAAATACATAAACAAAATCAGTATATATAAGGTAAATGGTATGTTATATTGTTATAAAGCAGTGTTCCAGGTATATGGAAGAAGTCAAAATTAAGTGAAATTGCAGCCTTAATAAGTAATTAGCAAGTGCCATAACTGGAAGAAGTAGTCATATATAGAAGCATACCTCTATAGGAGAGAGCCCTAATGCAGTACATATTCAGGACAGTAAGTGGAGGAAGTGTTCTTCCAACCATCTCGAAAACAAATAAAAAGCATGTGATAACTGTGCAGGCCTAAGAAGTGACTAATAATACATAAAAGCATTTTTTTTAGACTTATTTTTCTCTTTGGTCGATGCTGCAGCCATTCCGAAGCCGATCGCGAGGATATCGGCAGGTGAACGATCCTGTGGATGGGGTAAGTTGCGGTTTTAGCGAGATCCAGCGGCTCCACTTACGGATCAAGCGGCCATACACTCGCACGGCCAGACCACGCCCCCTGTATCACTTGTTTGATACCTCAATGTTTGCTATGTTTGACCCTGGCCCGTGGCCATAGCCTATAGTTTGTTTTTACTGTTGACTGAACCAGATGGGACCACTATCATTATATCATGCAGCACTTTGTCCTACCCTTCCCACTCTTCTCCCTCCCCCTCCCCTTCCCTTCCTTTTCCTTCCCTCCCCTATCTCCCTCTCTTTCCTCTTCCCCTTCCTGGCATATGTTGCTCTCCAGGGTGTCCACTGGCGCTCTTGGAGATACATGTTGTCCCCCGAGGGTAAGAGTTATTTATCGAACCCACATATGGACCCTGGACCCACCATGGGCCTATGGTAGTGTATGGTACGACTTGTCGTCTACCATACCGTTGTTCTCTCTCCTGTCCTCCTTTGTATTTCTTGTATGTTCTTTTCCTCTCTCTTTCTTTTGGCTGCGTGGGGTGTCGTGGGGGGGCACATTTAGCCGTCGTCGTTCTCCCTATCTCATACCAGGATCTTATCCCTTAACACCCAAGGAATGAATTCCCTCTCTAAGAGACGTAAGGCCTTTAACTATTTACATACCCAGGGTGTAGACATTGCCTGTTTTCAGGAGACCCATTTCTCCGTGACCTTTGCCTGTGGATACTTTCACCCTTCCTATCCTCAGGTTTTCCTGGCCTCCACTGCTACTAAACATAGGGGCGTGTTGGTTGCCTTTCACAAACGGACGCACTTCCACTGCACTAAGACTATCTTGGATCCTCAAGGTCGATACCTTCTATTAGGTGGTGACATGTTGGGTTCCCCCATTACAATCCTGTGTTATTATGCTCCGAATCTGTCTCCACTCCCTTCCCTGACCCATTTATTGGAACTGATTAAATCCCATGCCCACGGTACAATCTTCTTGTGCGGGGACTTCAATTTACCAATACATCCTAAATAAGATAGGTCTAGGCCTCCGCTGTTCTCTATACCCACTGATAGCATCCGATTTCGCGATGTATTTGCTGTGTCGGGGCTAGTGGATGCCTGGCGAGAACTCCATCCTCTGGCCAAGGACTTCACCTACTATTCTGCTGCTCTTGACCTTTATACCCGCATTGACCACATCTGGATTCGCCATTCCTTTCTACCCAATCTTATATCAACAAAATTTTCCTCTGTACCCTGGTCAGACCATGACCCCCACCATCCTGACCTGTCGCTCACTGCTCCCCAGGCCTTCCTCCTCCTGGTCCTTGAAGGATTCCCTCCTCTCCCATCTCAATGTTGTGGACCGTCTATCTCTCCTCTTGGCCGCCTACTTCAGAGAAAATGTGGGTTCAGTGTCCTCGCCCACTGTGCTGTGGGAAGTGTATAAGGCAGTACTACACGGCCACATTATTCAAATAGCGTCCCAACGACAGAAGGGACGGGATGCTCGTAGACTGGACTTGGAGACGGAGTTGGAACGCCTTACTGGGTTATGTAAGACCTCTCCTACGCCCAGGCTATGAGCCTGTCTAGAGAAAACTAGAGTGGAACTTAATCTTTGTCTTGCCGATATCGCTGAATGACAACTGCGGTGGGCCAGGCAAAAATTCTACCTCCATAGTAACAAACCAGGCTCTTTGCTAGTGAAGCGACTTCGCTACTTTGAGCCTCTCAAACGCCCTATCTCCTTGCGTACGTCGGACTCTGTTCTAACTAGCAACCCACAGTCAATACGGAAGGAGTTTCACCATCATCTATCCCACCTGTATGCAGAGCCACCCCCCTTTCCCTCAGTTAAGGCAGAATCTTTTTTCCAAAACTACCAGCTACCTGAGATGACAGATTCACAGGAAGAAGTCTTGGCCTCAGACATCACTGAAGAAGAGGTGCACTTGGCGATTAAATCACTGAAATCAAACGTGCTTGTCCGGCGCATCAGCTGGCTCCTCCCCTCCGCACACGGCGAGGTGACACATAACGGAGGAATGGTGGATGTTCAGCGTCCGACTGTTTTGTGCGGCGCACGCCGAACATTGCTCTCCAGAGAAGCCTCCGGACTGATCCTCCACAGACGAGAGATTGATCTCCCCCGACGGAAGCTGCCAGACAGAGCTCGCCTGTCACAGACCTGAGTCTGTATGGTCAGCATTTTTTCACCTCTTCATAAATAGGGTTAGGGTTAAGGTCCATTACATTGGGATCTGGAGCAAGTGAACTTCATAACCGCAAGTAGCCTATTATTAGTTATAAGGCATCATCCCCCCTAGCAACAGTGTTCAGATTGCTAAGCTTACTGTGGCGGTACTTCATTGTTCTCTTGACCTGATCTCTATTAATTTGCATATGGTTCTTACCTCATTGGGACTTCCTCCATGATATACTATTGTCTGCAGTTACCAGAGTATAGAAATACTTATTGCAATTGTACAACCACTCACTCCATTGGGAACTACTAGTCTTGTGGACCTTGTACCTCTACATCGTAGGAACCAGTTATACACTAGACCTTAGTTATTGCAGCCTCAGGACACCTCCAGTCCTGACTAGATTAAGGTATCCACAGACGGTAGTTACTAACTTCTCGATTGAGCACTACAAGGCTGGGGTCCTCTTCCGCCTTCCACTCACTCACAATGACACGCCAGCTGAAATTGTACCTAGGTATACTGACTAGGTCACAGTGCCCACGTAAGATCTGCCCTCACATAGACGGCAAACGATGTAACCGATTCCGAACCTCCGTTAGCATTACATGGAGAGTGCATAACAGGAATCGCATACTGAGTAACCATCACACATCACTGACTCTGCAGTTGAGAATCCAAACCCCACAAGCAAGAGCATTACAGGATGTTCGCAAGGCATTCGACATTTTATCTTGGCAGTATCTGTTTTTCGCTTTGTGCAAATGGGGCTTTGGCGAAGACTTCTTGGCTTGGATATTTGCGTTGTACTCCCAACCCTCAGCCTCCATCCGCTATGCAGGCTTCAGCTTGGCCGCATTCCCCATCTTGTGGGGCACTAGACAGGGCTGTCCCTTATCCCCCATCCTTATATTGGCTTTGGAGCACTTGGCGGCGGCCATCCGCAGCAATGCCTCCGTCCGGGGTCTAGAACTGGCGTGCACTCACCACAAACTTTCGCTCTACGCGGATGATATCCTGTTGACTCTTACCTCGCCTCATGTCTCTCTCCCAAACCTATTTCGTACGTTGTCGGAGTTTGAAGCGTTTTCCTGCCTACAGGTTAACGAGACCAAATCCAAGGCCTTGAACTTTACACTATGCGACGGAAGCCTCTGCTTGGTACAATCCAACTTCAGTTTTTCTTGGCCCTCTTCTCTGCCTTAGCTAGGAGTCAGAAAACCCCCCTCGCTCGACTCACTCTTCCACGCAAACTATCCCCCACTCTTCCACTAATTGTCTGCCCTTCTCGCCTCAAGGCAAAATATGCCCTTATCGTGGTTTGGAAGGATTCACGCTGTGAAAATGTCCTACCTCCCAGAGATCCTTTGCCTCTTTAGAGTTCTCCCTGTTCATATCCCCAGTCATATTCTACGCATAGAATAAAGGAAGCTTCTTCGCTTTATCCGGCTCTCTATAGGCCCCGTTTAGCTACCCATATTCTGTATCATCGCCGAGGGCTAGGCAGCCTAGGTGTCCCTCACTTGGGGAAATACTACATAGCGGCCCAGATAGCCCTGCTAACACTCTTTCATTCTGCTTCGGCTTTGCCCCAGTGTGCCCTCATAGTTGGATGCCCTCATAGTTAGGGCCCTCATAGTTGAATGCGCCCCCCTTCCTATCCATAACCTGTTATGGACTCCCCCCTCTTCTCGTCCCCTCATTCAAGATCCTATTTTGCGGTGTAGTTTGAAACACTGGGATTCGGTTAAATACACTGCTGGTCTTATATCCCCCCCGCCCCCCACCTCCCCCTCTCCGGTATTTTTGGGACTCCCCTTTTCCTCCCAGCTTATGAGGACGCATCAGCGTTTCTATGGTGGTCCCGTAGGAACCCTTTTTAGATCCGAGTACTGTTATCTATAGATGATGTCAAATCCTTCCAATATCTTCGCACCCACTGGCGTGCCCCCCTCGCAGAGAACTTCCGATACTTCACAGTTACGTCAGATCTCTCCTTCGGCACTGTCCGAGTTGTCCGCACAACCTTACCCCCTTCGAAGCGCGCTGTTGGTCAGATCCTCATTCTGCAGGCCTCATATCTCTTCTATATGCCTCGTTAGTGCCGTCCGTTGCGGTACAAAAACTTTCCTACATGCTAGCCTAGGAAAGGGATCTGGGAGACTTTTTAGACCCTCATACATGGACCGAGATATGGCTTGCTGCGGTCACGTACCGCAGGGCAGAGCCCCTTGCGCCAGGTCTGGATCCCAGTAGCAGGAAGCAGGTGAGATAATCAGTCCAAATACGAAGTCCAGGGGGATGAGACAAGCCGTAGTGAGGTAGTACCGTGTTCAGGGCAGGCAGCTTAGAATCAATAGTCTGATTCAACAGTCTGAGGGTCAGGTAGCCAGGAGTCCAAAACTGGGGTTAGGAATGCAGGAACAGGGGACGAAGATTCAGGAACAAATGCTGGGTCTCTGTGAGCAGGGCTTCAGAATAACCTAGCACTGAGCTAGTAGTGTTGTGAGATTTTAAAGCCCAGGACTGGAGGCAACGCCCTAGTTCCTGTAGAAACAGAGGTGGAGTTAGGGCGGTGCTCAGTGTATTGCTTAAGGGTTGTGTTCCTTGGGAGGAAGCATTTTTTTTCAAGTTGTCAGTTGCTGTGCATGCTGGATCTCTATTGGGGCTTATAGACGTCACACCAGGATTCCCCGCATGTGACACCATCAAGGGAGATGGCCCTGACGCCGTTACTAGCGCAGCTCCTGAATCGCACGCAAGATGACGCACAGAACCATGCTTTCCAAGGCACAGCCACAGCAGAGAAATGCCGGGAACGTGTCTTTGGTCCAAGGAGATCTGGAGAGGGGTGTCTCCGCACACTGCGGCTGACAGGTGAGGGACGCCTCCGTGCGCCATGAAAGCTGTGTCGAAAGTATTCAATTAATGTCTTAGCCCAGGAAAACGCTCATAAGGTCATGTTCCGCTGGTACACGACCCCTGACAGGATATCAAAGTTTGCTCCTGCTGTATCACCCTGCTGCTTCTGGGGCTGCGAGGCCAGGGGCACTCTGTTTCATATCTGGTGGCATTGCCCAAGGGTGCAGAGGTTGTGGATTAGGGTCTATAATTTACTTAGATCAGTCTTCAAGAAATCCTTTGTTCGCAACCCTTGGGAGGCCAATCTAGGAGGGATAGGAAATTAGCAACCTTTATTTTTTTGGCAACTAGACAGACTACTACCAAAGCTTGGAAACAACCAACGCTGAATGTTTCGGAAGTTAAGCAACGAGTCATGGGTATCATGGTACATGAGAAGCTCACGGCTATCCTTCACGATTCCTATTCCTCTCTCCAGAAAACATGGTCACCCTGGCTAGACTACATCCACCCAATGGATTTAGATCGTAATTTACTGGCCCTCTGACCAGAGGGCCAGAGTGTTGTGGTCCCCCTTGATTCCCTCTGCAGTCTGTCTCTGCCTTTGTTTTTTTCTCTCTCTCACTTTTCCCCTTTC